TAACTCAATTCTGTACAGTCAAACTTGTAAAAGTATTCAGGCATGGTGAACAAAATTTACGCTCATATAACGTTATGAAAATGCACGGTATTTTTTCTATTCTTAACCAAGATTCTATATTTTCCTAGATTTATGGTAAAGAAATTTTTCTACAATTTTATAAATAAATTCAGTTAAAAGTAAATTAAAAAAATTAATTGTATCGGTTGAAAAGCAAAGTCTACAGTCGATAGTTCTCTCTCGTATTACGTACATCAACTGAATCCTTATTCTAAGGCCCTGAAATTTAAATGGTTTTGATTTTTCTCATACATTAAGATAGAAATAAAAATTGTCTGCATGATATAATTACATAATTATTTTGTCTAAGACAAGAGAACAAGTAAGTACAAGTGTTATTGTTTGCTTTGTTGATATCGTTCTCACTTGCAATAATGTCGACAAAGAAACTCATAGTAGTACTAGACTAACAATTCAAAATTTGCTTAACAATAGATATTATAATGTCATATTTTTGATCTGAACTGTTATCTTTATCGCACTAAGATAAATAAGTCTCATTCTGAGGTTTTTAAAGCGTTGGCAACTTTCTAAGCGCTTGACGAAATAAACTTTTAGATTCCGGAATATATACTGAAATAATGGTTTTTCGTAATGATTGCTTAAATTAGTATGCTTTTACAGATTAATAATAATTTTTTACTATCGCTGGTTTTGGTTTTTTTATAAATACACTGCTGCAGCTTAAAATGTGCAATACATCGAACATGTTAAATTTTTGGGACATAGACTTGTTCACTGATGAATAGAAACATTTCTACGAAATACGTTTTTTGAAGATAGAAACTTACATAAAAATTCATAAATATTCACTATTTTAAAAGAAATAAAATGAGCATACTGTTTTAAATGAGGTTTGTTTATTAAATAAATCATAATCATAAATTGCATGTTCTTGTTTATTTGCCTTTAATGGCAGCACCCGCAACTGTCTTGTATGAATGAGTATACACATATACATGCACCTACTCTTGTTTTTTTAGTTTTATTGTAAAAGTAACTTGTCCATGGTTTTTTAAATTAAATGCAATATAAATTTTATAGTATTGCGTCATGCAAAAAAAAAATTGAAAGCAAAGTCCTGAAAAAAACAGCATTTACTTGACTTGCAGCGCTCCTTAAAACACTTAATAAGAAAATTCTTTTAAAATGCCTAAAAATATTGTAAGTTTGGCACTGTTTGTCAGTCATAAACAAACAAAGCAGAGTTCTATTGATAATCAAAAAACAACAAAGCTACCAAAAAAAATTTAACGCTTATACTTTTAGTAAACTCAAGTAATTTGCAGATTTTGGGCATCCCCAACTTTGTTTACATAATATTGCTTATGAATGTGATATATTACAAGTTTTTAGTTGTACGATTGAAAGTCTTGAAAAAAGAATTTAATACTGTATTTGATATTAGGCAGGATATTCAACTCTCGTTAATTAACTCATCAATTATTATTAAAAAAAAAAAATCTGCACATAAAAAAACCTTACATACTTTATCAGCTTACTTGGTGTGTAATAGAACTAAATTGTCTAAGTCATTTCGTAGTACGATAAGGTAGTGTATCACCGATATAGGCATCTACAATACATCATCTGTTAGTGCATTCAAAATACACATAACGCTTAAATGTAGAAAAAGCTTATTATTACGTTCTGTTGAGGCAGGGCAACAGTGTCGATCAGCTCGCGATCGTCATACATTTGCTGTACACTCACACTCTTATATGGCTATATGTATACGGCTGCTTTTTTGCCAAACAGTTAAGCCTTTTACGTATGCAGCAGACAATTAAGTTACATGGAAATTGTTAAACGATTCATTACATTGTATTTATACTAGTGACCCAACAGTCTTAAGATTGTATAAAATAGTACGAGTTGTAAGTTTTAAACGGTATGTTTCTCAGAATTTTTTTAGTTACTTAAGTAGCTCTTTTTGCCTGTATTCGAAAAGTCCCATGGTAACCAATGTGTTAACATTTTAAACTTGCAACTTCAGTATCATAATTACTCATGTAGAAGGAATATTTTTTTATAATTTATTTCGAGAAAGGACAGTTTAAGCTATAACATGCATTTTTTTCAAGGAAACCGGAGTTGAAAAATGGTGGGTGATAGACTACTTTAAATATAGTAAAGGTTATCAACAAAAAGGCAAAAAATTAATTTGTTGATATTTTCTACATTAAATATTGTTAGAACATTTTCTACATTTTAATATAAGAGCCAACTATGAACATAATTTGTAAAACTGGAGATTTACAAATGATAAGAAATTAAAGGCTTCCAGAAGGTATGTAAGAACAGGTTCTTTTTACAACGCATTAAAAGTGATAAGAAGCTTACAAGCCATTGTAAAACTCTATATTACAAAACAATAAACTGATCTGTTTTTAGGAAATATCAGAACCAAAATGTAAATACATTATTATATAATATAAGTATAATATATCACCTGAAAAATGTTTGTACTTGCAAGTGTTAGCAGACCTTATTTTGTTACTTCTGAAAACCTGTCAAACAGAATGTAACGAAGAATATGCTTCATGTTTCTTGATACTATATCATGATGTATCTGACAACTAGATTATTAAAAGCCTTATTACATTTGTACTACTGATTTTTTTTTACTGTTTACTGAGAAGTATTATTTTGAGGCTTGAGTGGCACACAGTTAAAATGAATATTGTATTTATGATAAATTTCGTAAAAATTTTATTAATATGCTACTTGCTTAATAGAATATCGTAATATCTAATAAGTCCTGTGCCATTCTTAAATAATCACAGTTTATTGCAAGATTTGTGATTAAGTTAAGAATATTAGGGTCATTTATTTATAAATTTCTATAGTATTTATCCACTACTAAGAATTTACATTCATATTTGCACGTATGTATTGGCACATCACTATTTTATGCGAATATTAAACAATAAAATTGTTAGTTCTATAATTTAAACAAAAATAGTACATTTTAAGTTGGCAGTATTATACAATTTCAAAGCATTTAAAACAAACGGACTACAATAAGATGCTACACAACAAGGTAAATTCATTGTATTATTAAAACGTCAAAAATGTTCGTTCCTAAGATACTTGTTATTAAGTCTATAAAGTATTTCACCTGTAATATGAAGAAGTAACTATCACTTACCAAACATAAAACTGATGTTTAGAATAATAAAGAATATCAAAGTCATTTTTTTAACAATTATAAAAGAAAAAAGTCTTTTACTCATTGAATTACTGTTTTTATTTTTATAAAAAAAGTTAGTAGGACTCGTATTTTAAAGAAAATAAATATTCACAGTTACTTTTACGCAAACGTGTAGAAGAGATATAAGAAATGTATGGTTTTTAAAGTCTTTATGACTATATAAACTCATTCCATACGTAGACTTAATATCTATGTTCCGGTTATCAACTGCAATAATTCGTACTATACGTTATCTCTCAGTGAAGAGAACGTCTAACAAGAAATGTATAGGAAAAAATACGAGACTCTCGTTCAATCACATAAATACTTCTTATTCATATATACAATGCCGTTGAACAAATATCTTTTTTCTTTATCACAATCTAATATAATAGAGTCTTAATCTAGTACACATCATTATTAATTTGTTGGATAATTCAGCAGAAAAGGTGACTAACGGTTATTAAAGAACTTAATATAAAACAAAATGTACTGGTGATTTGTACATTTCGGGAAACAAATATTTTACATATTTAATTTTCCTATTTCATAAATGCGCTGTTAATTAAAAACGCAATTCTTAATTGTAAATTGTAAATCTACGTGTAAAACACTTACATTGTTTATTTAAATAATTTTATTTAATTACCTGAGTGCAAATGCCAACTATAAAAGTGCTATGACTGCGCACTCGTTTAGAGTATCGTCTTTACCACTATTATATAATGTTGTTCGTGGGACTCCTAGTGTTCAGCTAGTTAGCTTTATTTGTACTATTTACTTGAATGAAAAAACTTAAAGAGGCTCAACACACCTATCAAAGTACTTGTGAAATAAACGAAATTAAAATCCACGGTCAATGAGTATGTTTTTTACCTCTGAGCAAAATTTCAGTATAGGTTGCTCTAAAAAATTTTAAGTAAAGTGCATTACAAGTGAGCGTCTTATACATAGCCTCTTATAGAGACGGCACTATTTTTACCAGAAATCTCGTCATTACTTTCTCAAATTACTTCCTGCATGAACAAAAAACTAGAAACATGTCGTTTAACTATCACTCTTTGAATTAAGCATAAGAAATGTATAGGTTGCTGCGGAGTTTATTGAGATATTTTCTTCTGAAGTACACTAATAGACACGATTAGAAAAATGTTGATTAGGATGTCGTCTGCAAAAAACGTGCCAAGCAGAAATGTATTCAAAAATTTATTGTGAATGTATTAAATAAGTAAATATATTTCTTTACTTCGGAACAAAGTAGTGCAGTTTGATAAAAAAACCATATCATTTAAAATATCAATAGTTATGCGTAATGCATAAACTTTTATTTGAAGTATTTATTAATTTATAATAGACATTTCGTGGAAATTGTTTAGCGATTGATATTAACTATCATTATGTACAATAAAAGGTTATATCAACGTAAACATCAACCACCACATGGAGCAGACGAAGCTTTTGTTGATTTTTTCTGCTCTAGAGTAAAAGTAATAATATATATGGCTCTGGTCATGACTATACCTGTATATGTTGTTGACTATATATGGTGGGTTGAGTTTTCTTAGTTCAACGATAGTGTTGAATGAATTGTTTCTTTTGTTTGTACAGCTAAATTAGGATAATTTATTCGCTTAAACATAAGTAATGGAGTTACATTGAAAAGGCTCAGTATTAAATATATTACTGATAACCAACTTACATAAATGGCTGATAGTTTATATGGCTGGTTCAAAGTTCTGTAGTACATCACGCAGTACCTACTTATAAGCAATTTTTTAAAGACGTTCATCACAGTTAGAGGGGAAATGTAGAGAGTGCAGTGAGGGGGGAACGAGCATGCAGCAGCGCTGGCAATTGTTTTGAATGCATTTGTATACCTTTATATAGGCGTCTGACTGTTTTTTGTATTCAACTGCAAAAGTAAATTTTCGATCTCTCTGAAAATTAAGAATGAGACCAGTATTATGGTATTGCGTCATGCAAAGAAAGTTAGAAAAATTCTACATACCATGTTCTTATAAATTCCATTTTTTTGTGACTCCTCTACAAAGTTACGTGTTAAATTGAAGTTTTTTCAACATTCAATATTTAAAAAACGGTGTTATGGAATGATCTCAAATATTACATGTGACTTCCTGACATTATTACAAGCATCCTGTTGAAATTTCAGGAAGATCGTACAGAAAACGCTATGTGTCATGAACGTCCTTGAGATAATACAAATTAATCTGTGCTGTTACTGGAACCGTTTTCTTACGATTTATCGGTGCTAACGTACGAATAACTGCTTTTTCAAGTGGTTTTTCTAGATTAGGCACGACCTGAAGTATATCAAGTAAAAATAAAAGTTAGATTCGTGTTCAGCAACCACAAGTATGTAAAAATAAGGTCTTGCTCCACTTCAAATACGTTTTAGAAGCATGTGAACTCAATAACATTAATTTTTCAGGGTAAGGTTGACGTCTTACAAGCACCATATGGAATTCACCATTTTTTAAATCGAAAAAGCGCATATGGGATTTAAAAGTAGACATAACAAGCTATCTTTTGCACTATTGTAAGTTTGTTTTCGATGAAACCGATTATGGAGAGCATGGGGTGTTACGCTTGACAGAGAATGCCTCATACATATATATGAGCCGAGCAATATTCTTGCAAAACTGCATTTCCAGCAAATTAATATGTTGGAACAACGATGATTAATGTCATGATTTCATGCATTAGGAAATAACATGACAACAGTACTTTTACATTTTTCTGATAAGCTTGATTAAAATTTTGAATAGGTGATAATGTAAAGTTGCATCAGCAAAAGAAGAAGCTCTGGAAATAACTTTAAGTGTTACTTATATATTAGTTTACGAAGTCCGCAATCAATGACTTCAGAAATTTCACAAATCAATTTTTATTATAATAAGCAAATACCTTAACAAAGATTTCAAAAGTGGTATAAGTAACTGAAATTGGACAATCTAAGCCCACGTAAATCTGTTCATCAATCTATACACTACAATGTATTCTTATATACATATTCGTTTGTGCATTAATTTCAGACAACGCCACCTGCAGTAGAAAATATGTCACAACTAACTAACAAGAATACGCAGTCCTGATGGACAATAATCTAGATTACAAGCATTTACTTTTATTATAACGTATCTTTAATAACAAAAATCAGTATTTTCAGTCCCAAGAAGCATATTAATACTAAAAATGCTTGTTTTTATAATATTATGAAAAAAAAAGAACTTTTCGTAAATGCATATAATGAACGACTGAGTATTATGTCTTGTGTGCTGACTTTAAAGTATATCACGAAATGAATTGACATTTGAGGAAAATCGCAATATTCACTCACAAAATACAAGGGTATGGGGAGAAAAAAATTTTTTTTATTGATACACTGTTAAATAGCTTTTTTTAGCTCAAAAACACACTCAACATCTAAAGAAATTATGTCAGTGGTTGAAGATATATTATTGTTCAAATAAACAATTGTAACTCATCATTATCCATGAAAGACTATGAATTCTTGTTAGTAAGTATCGGTGTATTCTCCCCTGAAGATGGCACTATTTGAAATTGTTGCATGAAGCAAATAACGTACATACATCCATTTAAGCAATGGGGCTGACCACATTGCATGTCAGCATACTATAGTTTTCCTTAACTTTATACTTTCAGTGGAGACGTTGTTATACTCATGAGTAAAATTATGGCGTATACTAGTCACTAAATGTATAAACGATTGTGCCCGTAAAATGTCTAGCTCATACCCACACACATACATATATAGAACGTGACGTAACTTTGCTTGCCATATGAGTATGTATTCGCTATGCGCCTATGTCAGGTGGCGCCATTGAGTAAGAGAAATTGTCCCTCGCTAAGATCGCCAGAATGCATGGAGTCTAATAGGAAAACTTTTTAATAAATTAAAAAGAAGGTCATTAAGAGTAAATTGACCAAATGAATCAGTAATTTGAGTGTGTCTTATGTTAGTGTACAGTAATAAATTTTGTTTGGTGTTGCCATGTGTACTACTAGATTGGAAAAAATGAAAATATGGATTGCGACTATGAGAACACAGCATATTAGAGTGCATATACATGCTCACACTTGTGTAAAGCTAAAAAAACACAAGTAATTCATGGAAACGTAGTATAAATGTGTAAAAATTAACCTAACCTGTCATTAGTATTAATTTTTATTGAACACTGTGTTGTGAGAAATAGATAAATGTAAGCAGTACTTGTGTTTCTCAAGCTCCATAAAAGTGCAAGCATGTGTATACACATAAATATGTTTTGTTAGCACAGTCGCAATCCATGTTTTTACTTTTTCCAATCTTGTAGTACATATGACAACACCAACCACAACTTATTACTGTACATTAACATAATACACACTTAAATCACTGATTCATTTGGTCAATCCATTCTTAATGACCTTCTTTTTAATTTATTAAAAAGTTTTCCAATAAGGCTCCATGCATTCTGGCGATTTTAGCGAGGGACAATTTCTCTCACTCGACGGCGCCACCTGACATAGGCGCATAGCGAATACATACGCATTATTATCTTCTATGAATGTGACAAATAAACTTGGTTTGAGCTCACAGTGCCATGTATTTGATATATCTCTATAGACTCGGGATGTGATACCCCCTTCTTAGTCTTTTGCTATTACAAATAAGATGAGAGCTCATGTAAGTTGATAAGATGAACTGATACGAGATTTAAAAAAATGTAATTCTTCAAGTTGATAAAGTGTGGTTTGAATATTCTATCTTTTCAAAAAACCATATGCTACTAACTTTTTGACATTGTTTACACAGAGTTTCTTCCTATATCATTTAGTTACTTAGGAGGGGCCTCCTTAACACTCACTTGCTTCCTTCATTGATTGCTCAGCTCTTTCAAGATAAGGTGAAACTCTTTTTGCTTCTTTGTAAAATAGCTTACGGATATTTTACTTGAGCCGACCATTGCTCCCTCCTTAATCCCCCTCAAATTCTTCTTC